CTCCTGGAAAACTCTGAATATGGCTTATAGGGATGAAGGGAAGTTTAGCACATTAATTAGATCTAAAACTGGATAAGATGAAAATGTTGGGTGCAAAAGAGAATTCTTGAGAGGATCAAGAACCAGTGAATCCAATTTAAACTTTGTAAGAGTGGATGTGACTTCTTAGCTAGTGTAACACACTTTCTCACTCATACAAGAAGAGCCAAAATATAGGAGTGCATAACAGCAGGTTCATTGGTTTAAACATGTTGACAAATCTACAAATGATGCATGTAATGTATAATGAATGGATCGATACATAAATCATTTGGCATTCCTGAGATCAGTGTCAATGTTTCCTAATTAACTTTTCTGCAGTACAAATTTTCAATTTCAGAATTTCACTGAGCTGGAATTGCAATTAGCAAGCCAATTAACAAACCCACTGTTTGTTATAGATAAGCTGTCAGAACAAGTACTAGCCTCAAGTTGTTGTGTGTTGTTTTTTTTTTTAGGGTTTTTTTCTTTTTTGGGTTGAAGGCTTTGGTTGGTTGGACCCTTTAAAAAAAAATTAAAAAAAAAAAAAAAATCCTCTTTTCATCTTCTCTTTGAACAGTTGGGCGTCTCTCTCGATGAAACGGTGACTGAGAGGGATTTGGATGACTTGCTCTGGGTCTTTGGCTGTGAATCTTCTGCTGTATGTTGATGGTTACTTCCATTGCTTGTTTGTGCTGTCTAAGTTATTCATTACTTAATATGTTACTGGTTTTTAATTTAAGCAGTTATTGTTTTATGGTTGTGGAGATTGGTGAGAGAATGACTTGGCTTTAATTTGAACCTTTCAGGAGCTGATAGCTGAAAAGATGGGCGAGCGGGTGAAGGGGATCATGGGAAGTCCTTTCAAGAGGACAAGCAAATACCTTACACACCAGGTCTTCAACAGGTCTGTTCCCAGTTTAAGGACTGTACTGTACTGTTCCCAAGAAAGAGGGAGAAATTTGTGCAGCATTTTAGCTGTAATAACCTTTGATTAACTGCACAATAAGAACTTTAATGGTGTTGCAGTCATATCTTACAACACCAGTAGTTCCATAAATGCAGTCTTGTATCCAGGCTTCCTGTGTCTGAGCCCAACGTTTATTCTTTGACATGATCCTTGACATAAAGGGGGTAAAACTTTTAGTTAACCTTAGGTAGTGTGTGCACAGATCAGCCACAACATTTGGACCATCTCCCTAATATTGAGCTATTAGGGTATTGTTAGCAGTGGGGTGGGGCCACTTTGGATTGACCATATTCTAAGGGTGTAACAACTCCAAAGACGATACCCATGTCGAACTGTTACTGCCTCATCAATGAAAGCTGTAATGCATGAGAATTTTTAACCTTACTTTTGTAATTTATCCCTTTTAAAGAGGTTGTGGTATGAACTGAACCCGACGTGTCGCTTGTATGATTGATGTGTTTGGGACGTGGAAATTTGGAGATTCGGTGCTTTAGGGTATTTGCGGTGTTTCTGGAGCAGTCTTGGTCGGCTGCTGCATGTCCAAGATCCAAAACATAACAGAGGGCTCGCATGGCAATAATGCTAAGTGTTCGTGTCTCTGCTTTTTGTTTTTCCCTTCAGTTACCATTCTGAGACCAACATTGTGAGATATATGAAGCGTCTGGAGAATAAGGACCTCTCCTTAGTCCACAGCATGATACCCCTGGTGAGGCTACCATAAGTCAAGGCAGAGGTTCAGGTTCACAGATAGTTGAAATTTATAGCATGCTTTATACTAGTGTGATAAAGTAGTGAAAAAAAAAGTTTTTATTTTTAGGGCTCCTGTACCATGAAGCTAAACAGCTCATCAGAGCTCATGGTGAGTAAAAACAGGAACTAGTTTTTCAGTTTTCTTCAGGTGTAACATGAAATGCTTTTGAGTAATTATGTCTCACTGCTGTATCCTCTGACAGCCCATAACATGGAGGGAGTTTGCCAACATCCATCCTTTTGTGCCCCTGGATCAGGCAGAGGGCTACCAGAAACTCTTCAGACAGCTGGAGAAAGACCTCTGTGAGGTGACGGGCTATGACAAGATCTCGTTCCAGCCAAACAGGTGAGGGCACAAAATTGTGTACTTGTTGGTGCACAGACCGTATCAGTTGGGTGGGCATGATATTTAGTAAAGACGGGAGCATGTTCCTTTTTAGGATGATTACTTTGATGGTTCCGTGCAGTGCAATCAAATTATCCCGAACCCTCCTTCTGGATCAAAGAACCTCTGCAGAAGGAAGGAAATGCTCAAAGCAACCACTTAGCAGTACAGTTTACCTTTACAAACATTTGTGAAAGAACCGTTATTTCAGAGAGCTCACTGAATTGGAGAGTGGTGCTGAACGTAGGATGGGCATGGCGCCTTTGCAACACAAAAGTTTGCGAAATTTCTTCCCTTTTAGATTTTCCACAGTCAACTTTTAAAGGGGAACCACAGCAACATTATGAAAGCGGTGCATAGCTGGTTTCACACTTGCAGGATTAACTTGCAGGATATTACAGCTGATAAGCGACACACCCACCTCTGCTCTCTGTCACTGCTTATCAGTGTGTTCATGGTGGAGCATGCTACATTGGCCAAGAATGCACCTAGCTTCATCCCATCTTTCCCTCCTCTTTTGGTAATGTCTGTAGACTGGTCTTTGGACTTTGATGAGGCTGTGTGTGTTCTATGCATGACTATGGTGTCTGCCTTATTTTTCAGTGGTGCTCAGGGAGAATATGCAGGCCTGGCTGCCATAAAAGCCTACCTGAACTCAAAGGGGGAGAGTTCAAGAAGTGTAAGTGTCCTGGAAAGAGCAAAAGTCTAACAGGATTGCAGTCATGGTTAATTATGTTATTTTATCCAACCCAAAATTATTTTAAGCTGGAGTCTCTAGTCTCTGCAAGAAAATGGAATCCTTTTTTAATTTAAACTTGTGTAACTCTGAGGAGCTTCATCTTCTGAAAACTGTCTAGAGTTAAAATGATCCACTGAACTTTAAAAAAATACCTGGAGGTACACAAACTTTGAGTTTCTAAGTTTCAATTCAAGTGCTTAAAAATATACACTGTTTAGCCACAACATTAAAGTTTCTGCCCTGGCATTGTGCAGTTCTTCTTTTTTTGGGTGACGTAAAGGCGGGCGGAGTGCACAATGCTTGGCAAGTGTTTTTCTATCAGTTCAGAGGAATCCTTTTGCAACTAGCACTAGGATGGCAGATTCTTTGGATCCTGTGGGGTCCAGGGTGACATGTCCATGGATCAGGCTTGGTCTGTGCATGCAGAGCTTGAATTTTTTGAGAGCAGCTGCTTCTGACGTTTTCCTTTTTCCTGAGCAGTTTTTGTAGTGTCCTAGTAACTATGCTCCTGCCATTGGGAGAGCTATTGCCTTTTGAGGTGTGCTTGGTCTGCAACAATATATAAGCAGATGGTATGCATCAAAGCAACATTCACATGAATGCCAAAGGTTTCTGAGCAGAACTTCATATGGCAACTAAGTTATCAATGTTTAGCTGTTGGTGCATTTAATGTTGTATCTAATCAGGTGAGATTGAGAAGACTTTGCTGACTTGTAAAGACTATTTACTATCAGTATTATCCTTCCTGATACTGACAGGCTAACAGAGTATTAGCACATACGCCCTACAGAGTAACCCCCTATCAGTGACAGGGTTATTGTTGTAAATTGAAACATCTGTGATGTTAAAGCATTCTCAACAGTAGCTCCGAAAGTATCCTGACATTCTTATTGATTGTTGAAGGATGATGAGATGCTACCCAAAATTAAAGACTAGCGTATTGAAGTATTTTCTCTTCTGTCATTTTATTTATTTATTTTTATTGCCTCCTAATAAGTAAATCTTAGTAGCCTGATTCCTGGAACTAGTCAAGGTCCAAACTGGCATCTGTTTGTGCAAACAAGGAGCTGAAAATGCTGTGATCCCATAGGCTAGCTGGTTTTTAAGACTCCATATTTGGAGGTTTTAAGACTTTGTCAAGTGAGAGTTCCTGGAGTGACAGCACAGCACTGTTTTTTCAGGTCAGTCATATGTCTTTTTTGGCTAACACACGGATCCATGTGCCCTGGTTTGCCTGTGAAACTGGGTTGCAAAATGCCAGACGTGTCACCCTAATAAGGAATAAAAATCAGTTAATGACCTGCAGGCAGGTTACTTATTAGTAGCAGAGATCAAAGAGAGCTGCAGTTTCCTCCCACTGAGACCTTAAAAGTTAAGTTTTTGTATAAATTAAATTGTAAAAGTAGCTTAAGCCACCAGTCTCACTAATTTAATTATATCTATTTTTGTTTTTATTTAATTGAGCTTCACTTTGGATCTGAAATATCTATGGCTTTAATTGGCTTGGTTTCTCTTGTTGCATAACCTGCAGTCACAGCAGTTTTGCCGTGACTTTGGATTATGGTTAGGACAATGACTCAAGCTGCATTTTGCTTGTTCTGCTTTGCTGACTATTTTTCCTATTGCCTCAGGTTTGTCTAATCCCCAAGTCTGCACACGGGACCAACCCAGCAAGCGCTCAGATGGCAGGAATGAAGGTTCAAGTGGTGGAGGTGGATAAGGATGGCAACATCGATCTGTCTCACCTGAAGGCCCTGGTTAGAAAACGGACGCTGTTGTACAAGATTTGTGTTGTCTGCAAATATTAACAGGTTTATCCAAGACAGACATGTCCAGTTTCATAGGTGGATTTGAAGGGAATCTATTTTTTGCAGTATTTTTGCTCTGCATGACTCACAGCTCAAAATAATCCTCATTTATTGTAAACTCATGCAATCCTTCACTCTGTGAAACAAGCGCTTTTGGTGCCTCTGGTCTTAAGTTGATCCTCACTCCAAATGTGTTCATTAATCCAAGTGTGTTCATGAAAGACTGGAACTTTGACTTCATGTAAATGATGTGACACAGCTTTTTTTACATGTTTATCTTTCCAGGTGGACAAACACAAGGCAAACCTGGCAGCCATGATGATCACCTACCCCTCCACCTTTGGTGTGTTTGAAGAGCATATCGGAGACGTTTGTGACCTTATTCACAAAAACGGTGGCCAAGTGTACCTGGATGGCGCCAACATGAATGCCCAGGTAATGCAATAAGTACAGTGGGATGCAAAAGTTTGGGCAACCTTGTTAATAGTCATTATTTTCCTGTATAAATCGTTGGTTGTTACAATAAAAATGTTAGTTAAATAAATAAGTATGTATGTATGTGAGACACAAAGTGATATTTGAGAAGTAAATTGAAGTTTATTGGTTTTACAGAAAGTGTGCAATAATTGTTTAAACAAAATCAGGCAGGTGCATAAATTTGGGCACCACAAAAAAAGAAATGAACTAAATATTTAGTAGATCCGCCTTTTGCAGAAATTACAGCCTCTAAACGCTTCCTGTCGGTTCCACTGAGAGTCTTGATTGAGGTTGAAGGTATTTTGGACCATTCCTCTTTACAAAACATCTCTAGTTCATTCAGGTTTAATGGGTTCCGAGCATGGACAGCTCTCTTTAACTCACACCACAGATTTTCAATAATATTCAGGTCTGGGGACTGAGATGGCCGTTCCAGAACGTTGTAGTTGTTCCTCTGCATGAATGACTTAGTGGATTTTGAGCAGTTTTTCGGGTCGTTGTCTTGTTGAAAGATCTAGCCCCGGCGCAGCTTCAGCTTTGTCACTGATTCCTGGACATTGGTCTCCAGAATCTGCTGATACTGAGTGGAATCCATGTGTCCCTCAACTTTGACAAGATTCCCAGTCCCTGCACTGGCCACACAGCCCCACAGCATGATGGAACCACCACCATATTTTACTGTAGGTAGCGGGTGTTCTTCTTGGACTGCTGTGTTGTTGTTTTTTGGTTGTTTTTTTTTTTTTCCTCCATGCATAACGCCCCTTGTTATGCCCAAATAGCTCAATTTTAGTTTCATCAGTCCACAGCACCTTATTCCACAATGAAGCTGGCTTGTCCAAATGTGCTTTAGCA